GTTGGAGCAACCAGCCACTGCCACAGCTGCAGGACGGGGACCTTGACTGAAGAGTTCAGCCACGATGAACCAGGGGATGGGACCGGGGCCAATTTCAAAAAAGGCCACAAAGCCAAAGATGGCAACGATGCTGATATAGCTAATCCAGTCCAAGGTATCCTGCAAGGAGGACAATACGTGTAGCTGTAACTTGACAAGCAAACATGGGATAGCAGAATATATGCTCCAACATCTCTATGGCCTTATTCATGTTATATAGTTTCTGCTGTGTGGGGATGTATATTCCTCTAATCCCAGCTGTACCCCCGCTACAGAGTCTCCTTTCCTTACACTCAGGAGTCCCCTGGCTCCGTACTCACTTCAATCCTTCTGAAAATGCCCTTTCCTTTATCTTTGGATCCCCTTGGCTTACCTCTGTGTCCCTAACAATGTTGCAACTCTACTGCTACCCCCAGGACGAGATTGGACACATTGATTGCTGTCAACTCACCTTAAGTGTCAAAGCTATGGTCATGAGAACAGCACAGAACGCCATGCCACCCAAACCGACCAAATGAAGGGTCCTGCGCCCTGCACGCTCCACCAGGAACAGCTGCAAAAATGGCAGGAGAGAAAACCATTAGATAGGAAAGCAACAGCCAAAGGTTTGCTCCGCACCACCCCCAATCCCCAGGGCTTTATCTGCCTTTTACCTCCACCTCTGCAATGCTCATGTGGTGAGTGGCAGTCAACATGGATAGGGACACAGAATAATACATTCTTCCTGCCCCTTCCTTCACTCAGTGTTTCTCTATCTCTTTCTCCATTATCTCCTCCCCCTCTTCTTCCTCTGACTTTTGCCTTTATCAACAGCTTGCTTACACCTTTCTATGTCCCCCTTCTCTCCCTCTTTCCTTTGTCTACTATGCTCATGATCCCTCCTTCCGCCTTACTCTCTTCTCCTTCTCCTTCATACTTCCCTTTGCGCCTCTTTTCTCTCTTTTCTGCAAACATCAGCCACAATTTGGCTGAAGATAAAAGGCTAATTAACATCAATTATTTCTTCCGAAGGTCTCCCAAATCTACACCAGTCATAATCTCCCCAGCCCCACTCCCCAGCACTACTTACCGATACAACAGTGAAGACTGTGTTAACCACACCAGCACCAATGGTGGCATAGACTGGCTGCTTGACACCAGCTTTTTCGAAGATCCCCGTGGAGTAATAAAACACCTGGGAATGGAAAAAGCAATTGGATATGGTTAAAAGTCTGGTATCTGAAAGGATGTCTCTTATTTTCATGCCTCACTCTCCCATGTGTCCAATAAGAGCTCAGAAGCATTTGATCAGGCAGTCAGGTATGGTTTCAATCAATGATCATGCAAGGACCATACATTGTAAACCATAGGTCTAATAATTGTTCAGGAAAAAAACAAACAAAAAAAAAACCAAAAAACCCCTCCACCATGAATGGAAGTGTCCCTTTAAAATGTCTTTGTTCCCTATTGTTCATGTAAATTAGCCTTCAGGTGGATGTGATTATTCCCAGTTACACATCTCTTTGATATGCTGAGATAGGCTAGAGCAAGGCTGTTAAGCACAATCGGAGCCTAATGAGTTCCTGATGTCATTGAAAGTTTTGGGGATCTCCCTTGACTCCAAGTGCCCTGGTTCCACAGGTGAGCTATAACAACTTTTTGGTGCCTTGGGAGGTCATAGGGTGGCTGAGTATTTCAGGGGGCGCTTGTTGGCAGAAAGTGTCACAGAAACTGATCTCAGCAGAAGGAAGTGGGGATGAGGGGGCCAGACTCGGTCACTGTTGTATCTGCCTGACTCCGGCTGAAGCCAAGGAGAGACACTCGTAAGCAGCAGCAAGAGAATTGAGCCCAAGAAGTGAAACAAGAGGCTGACTCACAGCATTGATGCCAGAGAGCTGTTGGGAAAGCTGGAGCATGATAGCAATGATGATGGCCTGGCGGTAACTCGGTGAACGGAAGAGCTCCGGAACTGTTGCTTTCTTCTCTTGGGACATCTTGGCACTCTCCTCTTTCATCTCTTGGATATCTTGGGCCACATCATCTGTACCACGGAGCTTCTTCAGAACTAAAGGGAGGAACCACACATAATACATGAAGTGTCATCAATGTACATGCCCCAATCAATGACCGGCTTGCGTTTCGCTCCCAGCCTTCTCTCCATGGGGAGAGCTGTGAAGACGGGACCCCCTAGAAGCTAGTAGTTGGCTTGGCTATGTGAGAAAGATTGAGGTTCTATTCCTGGCCCTGGCTACTATTCAACCTGGAACTAAATGTGTTAGTAGTTATCAGGCCAAGTGATCTGTGCCTCTGAGCTGCAGACCAACATTTGATTCCTGCTTCTCTTCACACATTCAGCTGAGGGTGACTTAGCAGTACTGCAGAGGCTTGGTTCAGTGACACTGTGAGGAAGACACTTCTTTCTTAGGCTCATTCACTTCATTTTCTAAAGGCTGGGAGGGGCTGAGGGCATTGCAGAGGCCAAACCTGTGATTCTCGGCCCTATCGTTCTGCACTAGGCCGTGTAACATCTGGCCTTCTTACTCTCTTCAGGAAGGTTGCGGGAGCTCCCAGAAGGGTAAGTCTGATCCTTGATAGGGACCAAATAAAAAGGTGGGACAAGAAGTTAATGGGCTTAATGCAGCAAGGGCGATAAAGGGTAAATATTAGGAGAATCTATCTCACTCTCAGGATAGTTAGGCTCTGGACAGGGCCGGACCAAGCTATTCATGCGCCCTGGGCTCCGGGAGTGCAGTGTCGCCCCCAGGCACTCGGCGCATGCACAGCCCCGGCACATGCACAGCCCCGGCACATGCACAGCCCCGGCGCATGCACAACCCCTTAGGCACCAGTGCATGTGCGGCCCCACTTCTGCTCGGTCCAGCAGCCCCACATGGCGCCCCCTACAATGGGGTGCCCCAGGCGGTAGCCCAGTCAGCCTGTAGCTTGGGCCGACTCTGGCTCTGGAGTAAGCTTCCAGGGGGAGTTGTAGAACCCTTGTCCCTGGAGGTTTTTAAGAACATGTTGGGCTAACATCTGTCAGGGATGGCCTGAGTATATTTGGCCCAGACACGGTGCCTGAAGGTGGACTGCCAATGTCTCAAGGTCCATTACATTCTTACATTTCTATGATTCTGCATTGCTATGCAGGAGACCCTAGATCAGTTCCAGGTCTGACACACATCCTGGATCTGGTGCAGGGTGGGGGTACTGCGCATGGCAGGTCCGGTGCTCTCTGGGGATCATCTGTCTACACTGCCATGCAGGAGATCCAGGTTCTCATAACACTCCACGTCTTCCATCCCTCCACGGTTTTGGGCAGGCTGGGTGCCTGGGATGGCCAATGACTGTCCTGTGATGCCGTTTAGAAGTATTTGCGCACCTTCTCGTGCTTTGTCTTCCTCCATCTTGTTCAGCAGGAAACGGGGACTCTCAGGGCAGAAAGGCAGAGCAGCACACTGTAGGATGGCTGGGATGATAGTGAAACTCAAAAGCAGTGGCCAGAGGCTCTCACTCCCCATGATCTCCTTCAGGCCGAAAATCTAATTCAGCGAACAGGAAGAGAAAGAAATATTACAACATACTCCCCTGTGTTGAAATTAAGTCTGTACTCTCTCCCCCTCGAGGATTACAGTACTTTGGGCAGTTAGTTACTCAACCCCTTCCTCCGCATGGTGACTACAGAATAGTCCATGAGGTGTCACCCCCCTCATGATACCCGTGCAGTAGTCTGTTAGCCCATAAAACCTGCAATGCCCTCCCCACCACCCATTGAGAAAGGCAGTAGCAGGCTTACCTGTGCCACCAAGATGCCCACAACGATGCCCAGCTGGTTGAGGGTGCCAAAGGCACCACGCAAGGCCGTGGGTGAGATCTCACTGATGTACATGGGCACAAAGCCGGTGGAGAGGCCACAAAAGAGGCCAATGATGAAGCGGCCAATGATCAGCATCTCTACTGCTTTTGCCATCTTGGAGAAGCCCATCAGAGCACCGCCTGCAATGGCCAGGATATTTACCAGCAGCATGGAGTTCCGCCTGCCCGAGAGAGACATTAGCAGTGGCCAGGGTTATTGATGGGCAATGCTAGGGAGGAACTTGCAGAAATGATATGCCCAGCCAGATCGCCCTTCCCAGGGGCATAACTCCCCACTCAGCCTTTCCTTTGTGCCTCACTCCCTTTGTCTGTCTCTTTTCCTCTCTCTCTGCCTTGCCCTGGCAGGAGTCGGTCCCTTCTCCCCAGCCTACCCTCCTCCTCTGTTCCACTGATCCAATTTTTTGAAAAGAAATAATTTCTCCTAATTCTTCCAACATCTCATAATTGAAAAACAAGCTCCATGGTGACTTAGACCCCATTTCCAATGTACCTTCCAAATCGGTTGACAAAAAGTCCCACCGAGAAGGATCCAACCATCCCACCCACGGAGAAGATGGCGACGGAGAGGGACCACAGTGAGGTCAGAAGCTCGGGAGAGGTTGGGATTTTTCTCCGCAACTCCAATGTTTCATTGAAGAATGTCTGAATAATCTGCATGGGAAAAACAGGAGGAGAGAGGGATTTAGTATAAAAAATACTGCACTGCGGGAGAAGGGAAATCTGTATGAGGTTGGGGGTTCTTCTGTCACAAAGCCAGTGTTAGGGGAGAGCTCTCAGAAATTTGGATGTAGAGAAGCTAAGTGGGTCAGGAACCCAAACTGTCAGAGAGAGACAGCAGCTCAGAGAGGAGCAGTAGGAAGTGATTAAGAGGATGCAGAGACTGACTGACTTAGTATGATGAGATTGGGCAAGAGATGATTCAGGAGGTCAGAGGCTAATTCTCTAAGGAGCAGGACACACAGCAAGGAGGATATTCAAGGGAGTGGTAGGTCTGAGTGAGGAGTAATAGCAGCAGTGGGGCTACAATGAGCAAAGGGAAACGTTTTCTAACAAATTTTGAGAACATATATAGTCTTAAGAAACAGTCCCCAGCAGTGACTGTGAAATAGTTTTTCCAAGGACTGAATAAAATTCTGAAGCACTGCAGGGAACTATCCTGCATTGCCTACTAGGAGGGATGAGCTGGGAGGCACAAGGGCTTTCCCCCTTGCTTTCAGGGTAGACACCCTGGCTGATTACGAAGTATTGCTGGTCCTGAGCTGATAATTAGTTTCACATCATGTGCTCCCAGCAGGGGGCAGCAAGATGCTAGTTTGAACACACACCCTTTTCCCCTCACCCTTTTCTGGTTATGACATCTGTATTCCTGGAGACAGGGTGGATGTGGTAGACATGACTCACTTTTGGGGTTTAGCTCATCTGATTTACAAGAAAAAAAACCCTGTCTTTTTTCATTTCTTTTTTTTTTTTCTTGGTGGTGTAATTTGCAGATTGCTTGCTTGGAATTTCCCCAGACAGACACATCTGCTACAAAACTCCCTGTAGGTAGACAGATAGACTCAGGAGAAAGTTTGAGAGACAAATCCCAACAGGAGGCTCTTGATACTATGTATGTATTTGTTAGTCTCTACGGTGCCACAGGACTACTCATTGGCTGTGTCTAGACTGCATCTCTTTTCCGTAAAAGGGATGCAAATTAGACACATCGCAATTGCAAATGAAGCGGGGATTTAATTCCCCCCCACTTCATTTGCAATTACGATGTGTCTAATTTGCATCCCTTTTACGGAAAAGAGATGCAGTCTAGACACAGCCAATGAGTAGTCCTGTGGCACCGTAGAGACTAACAAATACATACATAGTATCAAGAGCTTTCATGGGAAAAACCCACTTCTTCAGATGAGCAACAGGGGCAACTATAATCTCATGCAGCTCTCTTTCAGCTCTCGGCTGTACCCTCGAACCTCTGCAAGGGCTGTTCTGTGACTCAGAAGAACAGTCCTCTGTGACTCAGAACAGCCCCCACACCTGCCAGTGTGCTTCATCCAGATCAATAGGGATGGGTGAGAAGGTTTCTGTGGTTTTAAGGCTGGCAGCAGGGACACATCATTTGGTGGGGATGTCCTCCAAAGTATTTTTTTTTAAAGGATGGAATCTAGATAGAGATTTGGATTGGTCTGAAGATTATAGGGTCCACCCAAACACTCCATTTGCTCAGTCCTTCCCTTTCCCTGGTTCTAATATCTCCACTATGTCTACATTCCAGTTTGGCTCTCCCCTCTTATTGCCCTTTGCACTTCAAATAGGAGTGACAAACCATTCACCCAGGAGTGCCTCAACAACCTTTTCTCTCCACCCCCCATACCTGAAGCTCATCCTCAGCACCATCTTCCAAGACAGGATGAGCTCTATTGAAGCAATGAGGCCACCCAGACACCGCAAAGCCCAGAAGGTGTGTTCTCTCTCTCTCTCTCTCTCTCTCACCTTCTCAGGAGCATTGATGACACCCGTGTTGTACCCAAACTGGAGCGATCCAATGGCCGCAATGGAAACAGCACAGAGAAGGGGACAAGTAATTTTCTGAAGAGAGAGAAGGGAAAAATCATTCATTGAATTGTTTTTTTTTTTTCATATTTTCCATACACATTGTTTTTCTTTTTAACACAATCTCAGCTAAGAGTTCCTCAGAAGCCAGGTCTAGTACCTTCTATGGGTCACGCAGAAGAGTCTCAGTTTCATTTCTCTGGGCCAACAAGGGCCAGGAACACTGAATATAATGCTAATCATGGGAGTATATGTATACTCAGCCTTGTCATACGACAGGGAACCTGCCACTTCCTGATTGCATGGGGTCAGAAATAAAATGAAATTGGCTAGGAACTTGCCACAGTAACAGCACTAAGCTCTACACAAAGATCATGTGGCAGAGATATTTCAATAATCCACTCTACCAGCAGAACAGAAAACATCTCAGCAAATCCAAGCAGGACACTGGTGGCTGCATGTTTTGAGGATACCCAGAATGCCACTGTGAGTGTCCCTGTGCTGACAGATAGAAGGCATGCCCACCCAATCAGCAACAATGCAAAAAAGATGTAGCAAACATGAATTGGTGGAGCCCCAGCAGCAGCTCAACAAGCCATTGCAGGATGACCTGTTCCGAGAAGTTCAGATACCTGCTGAGGTTCATAGACAGTCATTGACAGATATTGAATTAGCGGCAGGATGCTTTAGCGGCAGGATGCTTATCTCGTTTGTCAGAGGTGCCAGTTACACACCTAACCTCCATCCTCTATTTGCATCTTCTTAATTGGCTATACAAGTTACTAGCTGTTATTTGTGGTTAATATGCTTCATTGAGAAGTAGCTTCTGCCCCCGGCATGTTTTTTAAATATTTCCCATGTCACGTGACTTAGAAAATCAATGTAAGTCTCAGTACTCCTGGGATTAATATCTTTGTTTCAGTGGAGAACACATCTAGGGTATGTCTACACTGCATGGCTATTTCAGAATAAGATATTCCGGAATAGTTATTGTGAAATAGCTTCTTTCAAAATAGCACGTCTACACTGCAGGGAAGCCTCAAAATTAGTCCGTGGCAGGCTTCCCTAATGTAGATGTGCTATCTCAATTTAGAGCCCCAGGAGGCAGTGGTGAGGAATAACTTAGAATGGCCCTGGAGAGGGGCTATTTCAAAATAGCAGCAGTGATGCGTCTACACACACCTTATTTTGAAATAGCTATTTCAGAATAGGCGTTATTCCACGTGGAATGAGGTTTACAGAAGTCAGAATAAGGTGTCTGTTATTTCGAACTTATTTCAAAATAACGGAGTGGCTGTGTAGGTGCTCTCACTGTTATCTTGAAATAACGGTGCAGTATAGATTCACCCTTAGTGCCCTCAGAGATTAGTTCTCTGCACAGCCATGCAGGAGACCTGGATTTCTTTGCCCATCCTGGGATCTTACTTCCTGCACCAAGGACTGGTGGCATTAGAATTCTGCATGGCAGATTGCCAGCTCTTGTGATGTTTTTTGCAAGTCTCTGAATATTTCATGTATTTCTTAAAGCCTCAGCTCCAGGAGTCACGTGATTATATCAGGATCTCAATTTTCTTTAAAGTAAAAAGTACATTTCCTGCTCCGCTCCAACTTGCCGCCCTCTCCCAGTCTGTGGATGCTGACCAAAGCTGGGACCCATGGGAACTCTAAGGGTTCAGAAACCAGATACCAAATATAAAATGTCCAACATTTTTCATTGTTTAAAATGCCAGTTTTGGGGTGCTGACTCATAATTTTTCAATGCTTTAAGCTGGCAACACTTATGTAGTTCCATCCTTAATACCCTACCCTGGTTTCTCATTCGCTGGGATCACTACCAAAGGTGTGAACAATGTGCATTCCAAGTCCAAGTTGTCACTGTCTAAGACCAATGAGGACTGGGAACCCCATGGAGACTAGTGTAGTACCACCACTCCCAATTTCTGATTCCCTCTCCTGGGGCCAACACAGACTGGGAGTGCTACCAAGTCAGAACTGGTCCCTTCCATGCAGAGATAGAGAAGACTCACATTTAGCACTCTCATTCCCTGGGGGCCAATGGGTTCTGAAAAGGCCTGGGCTAGCTTAGTGCCACTTAGAAGGTTGTTGGATGCAGAGGTTTTCAAGGGGCACTGGTTAGCACGTCACTGCCTCACATCTATGCAGAGTCCATAGGCCCTGCACTTTGTGGGGTCCCACGGCAGCCACCTCAACCATCCTATGGGTGGGACCCAAGGGATTACATTAGGGGAGGGGTCTGGCATGGGGAGCCCTCCTACTCCCACTCACTGCAGTGGCAGGAGCTAGAGCAACCAGGCAGCTTGCTCGGCTCCAACCTGTCACCCTTTCCCAGTCTGCTGAGCTCCATTTCACCATGGCCACAGTGAATCCAAGAGCTCAGTGGGCTGGGAGAAGGCCGTGGGGTTGAGTGGCTCACGCTGCCAGGCCACTGTGGCTCCCACCATAGTGGTGTATAGAGGTGGAGGAGGGCTGACTCCTGCTGCTGCCCTGCGCATCACTCGGGGAGGGGGCTTTGGGCAAGGAGGTGGGTCGGGGCAGGAAGGGGCAGAGCAGGAGCAAAGCTTGGGGGAAAGGGTGGAATGGGGACAGGGACAGTCCTATGGGTGAAAGGCTACTCTTGGCCCTATGCCTGTGGCACTGGGGAAGGGGTTGCCCAGGCCCCGTGCCCCCCGCTCCTCCAAGACGGCCTTGCCTATTTGAATGGATTTATCCTCACAACACCTTTATGAGGTAAGAATTATTATTCCCTCCATGTTACAGATGAGGAACCGAGGTACAGAGAACTATTACAGTGTGTGTGGGAACAAAACCATTTTTTCAGTTCAGTGCTTTAACCAAAAGAGTATCTTGCATTGTCATGTCTTACTCAATATCCAGGCCTGGTCTCCAACTCCACTGGACCCGTCAGGGCCCTACACAGCATAGGCATACTTTGCTCACATAGTACATACACACATACTATATATAGTATAGTTCTCCTGTGTTCTATACCATGTTCCCTGCCTCCTGCCTTTTCTCATCTATTACTTAGTGTTGCACAGCCAGTCTCACCCTCCAGCATACATTACATGGTCTCACCCCATCCAATCCTATAGCGAGTTGGACTATGATCTGTTGTGTATTCTCTCCAGCCAAAGAGCTCAGAAATACCAGGCCGGGATCTACACAAACCATGGTGGCAGGGTTGAGGATTAGACACTGGCGGGGAATTCAAAATCCCACCCATACCCCTCCCTCTCACAACTGGCGACAAGGGTATCTGACATTTCCCCTCAGTGTTCTCTTTTTTTACTGGCTGGAAACCCATTGATGTATCACTCAGTGACCTCAACTGGGGCCACTTCTTTACTCTCCTTTAACGACCTTGACTGGGATGCTTGTTCAGAGCTCCCTCCCTCATGCCCTCACACTGTCCTCTTCTCCCAGGAAAAAGGGAAAGAAAGGGTTGGCTTTATAAGCTGATGGCTATATGAATATCCCTAAAATAGTAGTAACCCCTAGATATTCTTCAATGAGGATATCAATCAGTTATTTAATGACACTCAACCTTCCTCACTTTCTCTTCCCCAGCCACCATTGCCTGATTTTTTCCTTGATGCTTTTAAACACATGCAATTAATTAGTTCACTCATTAATACGCACAGCACACATAGACACACATCAATAATACTGTCCACAAAGGCTCTCTAGCCTGCTGGCTCAGTGTTGTGAGCGGGACTAAGCCTGCCATGTTCTCTTGGTTGAAATCCAAAGGCTATTCATTTCAAAAACCTAGAGGAATTGTCAAATTCTTATCATGAACACATTGTCCTCCTGGTCAACCTGAAGACAAATGGCTCCTCTTCGGCCAGCACAACAGATCTCATGCCAAATAAAACGACGACAAGGAAAGTAATACTTTTAAAAACTACAACCCTAAAAATATGAACAACCGAATGCCATGACTTGCAACAATCCTACATAAATGTCTTCACCTCCCCCTAATGTGCATTCTCAGTCCCATCCTTAAATAATAATCGCACATGCAAGTTTAGTGCTTGATTTTAGAGCTTTCATCTTCTCAACACAACAACAGAAAGTAGTAAAACCCAGAGTAATAATAATCAAACACCATGATGTTATCTAGAAAGCCACATTCTGCAAAGGGTTGCCTTATGGTTCAAAACATTTTCAACAAGAGGCCAAAGGTTTCACAAACCAGACAAATTGGGTAGCATTAACCCAGAGTTTATAAATGATGGATGAACACATGCAACGGCATTCAAATAGGTTAAAATATAAATGGTAGGAGGAAAAGATCTGCTGTTACCTTTTTGCTCTCCATGGTCCTTGGCAAATGCCTCGAAGACACTGCAACACCACTGCCCCCTTCTTAACGAAGTCGCTGAAGATCCCTTAGATGCTGTGTAATTGTTTCCCACAACAGAATATCTGAAAAGGTCGCTGTAATTTTTTTTGCTCTGTGCAATTTGCAATATCTCTCTGCTTAGAAGCTGCTTTAGAGCAATCTATTTATGGCTTCTGTGGGAGGTGCGAGTGAGCCAGTCAAGACCCCGCCCAAGTCCATAATAAGCACAAAAAAAATAAAAAACAGTCTTGTGACCCTGCACAGTTTTGTGACTTCACTGGAAATTTAGATAAGACATTTTCCTTTCTCCTCTTAAAAGGCATATGTGTGTATGAGTCTGAGCACAGCCCTTCTTACGTTTCACAGATACAAACCCCCAAAACATTCCTCAGGAGGGCAGAAAATGTTCGGCTCCAATTTTGATGGCTTCTATTATTTAACTCCAAATAGCATTTTAGAAAGGAGGGGTGAGGATTTAGCATGCTATTGGTGCCATGAAAATCTATAGCAATAAAATTATGATGCTTTGTGTAAAAAGCTCCCTATACACTAATGTTGCACTGTGTTCAGAGATGGCAGCTAGCTAGAGAGAGAGAGAGAGAGGGTATGTCTACACTACAGCATTATTTCGAAATATCTTATTTTGAAATTACATGTCTAGACACTAAATGCATTTCAAAATAGTGCATCCACACTGATTGGATGCTGAATTGCATTTAAGGCCATCCGGAACCTGTTCTGGCAGGGCATCAGGTCAGGAGTTACCTTGCGTGGCTGCTGCCTGAGACTATCTGAGACCTGTGCTTGAAGGGGCCCCCCTGGACAGCCAGTTCTCAGGTTTCCCTGCTTGCTTGCCTAGCTCCCTGAGGGACAGCAAAGTATTTTCTTTCTCTGCAAGCTCTGATTGCCCGCACTCAGTACACCACAGCACTCTGCAATATGGAGCCAGAGCCGCCCCTGGGCACTCTGGTGCTTCTCCTGGACATGTTGCTGTGAGCCTGGAAGCACATTCTGCAGGCAGTAACAGTCTCCCTGGTGTGCCCCACTGGGGGCTTGTGCCTCATTCCTCCCTCACATCCTTCCACTTACCCCTCCCTAACCCCCCTTCCTGCTGTACAATAAAAGACACGTGTTCATTACAACAAAGCCTCTTTATTGAACAAAACTGGGGTGAGGGGGAATGAAACTGAGGTGAAACTGGGGAAAGAAGGTGGGAGAGGGGAGGAGGGAGAGTGGGAGAGGGGAGGGGGAAACCTGGGAGGAGGGAGCTGGCAGGGGGAAGCAGGGGGAGGAGAAACTCAGGGCTCAGGGTTGGGGGTCTCGCCAGTCCAACTGTCTCCCAGCACCGCAGGTGCAGGGGCCTCGGCGTCCCTGGGGGGGTGGGAAGGGTGTGGAGGAAGTAGTGGGAGGAGGAGAAGGAGTGGGAGGAGGAGCTGGGGAGGCAGCAGAGGTTAGAGCAGCAGGAAGCAGCAAGCTCTGCACCAGGGTCTGCAGGTGCTCATAGATGGCATGGCCCTGGGCAAGCTGCTCCTGCCAGAGCTGCAGGTCTTCCTGCACCCAGTGGTCAAGGGTGCGGTGCAGGGCTCTCAGTGCCCCCAGGTGCTCCACTGCACGGGAGGATGTCCCAGGCGGGGTGGTGCGCCCTGCACTCACAGCTGGTGTGGTTGTGGAGAAACAAGAGAAGTGGTCAGTTCTCCCTGGAGACACAGGGTGAAGCCCAGCCCCTCTCTGCAAGGTGAGGACGACAGGTCTCCACACCATCAGAGCCGATGTGCTTGCACAGAGGCCATGTTCGGGATGTCCTGCTATCCCCAGGAGTGTGAGCTGCCCCGGGACTACATCCATGCCCCTGTGCTGTATATAGTGTGGGTGTGTGTTGGGGAGGAGATGTCCCCTGTCTCTGTATAGAGGGGGCTTGTGAAGGGAGGGCGTCCTGCTGTGTCCCACCCTGGGGTCAGGAGCATGTCATGTGTCTTCACACACTCGTAAGTCAAAATAGCTTATTTCAGCATTAGGCACTGTCTACACAGCAGGAACCTGAAGGAAGAACAATCTTCCTTTGACTTCCCTTACTCCTTGTAAAATGAGGGTTACTGTAGTCGGAGTAAGAAGTCCTCTAGCTCGAGATTATTTTGAAATAAAGGCTGGCAGTGTAGACACGCTGTTTATTTGGAATAAACATCAGTTATTCCAAAATAACGCTGCTGTGTAGATGTACTCAGAGTAGGCCAGGCCAAAGAGTTTGCAGGGCCCAAGGCAGCATGTTGTGGTTGGCTGCACTGTGTGGCCGGGCAGCTCCCAGCCAGGGCAGTGAGCAAGCTGCCAGGTGGCCGGGCGGAGGGCTCTGAAGGTGTGGGACCCAAGGCAACTGTCTTGCTCACAGGGGCGGATATAGGGCAGGGCGAACGGGGCAGTCGCCCCAGGCCCCGCGCTTCAGAAAGCCCCGCGCATGCGCCATAGCAAAGGGGGGGCCCCGCGGAATTATGATGCCCAGGGCCCCGCGAAACTGTCATCTGCCCCTGCTTGCTCACCTTGCCCTAAGGCTGGGCCTGACCGAGAGAGTTTGTGTGTAGGGACTTGTGCTTTCCCTGGAAAATATAGTAACTTCCATTGTTGAGGGAGAACAGGGAAACATGGCAAGGAAGAGAAAGGATAATGGACAGACAGAGGAGAGGAGAGGGAAAAGATCCTAGTACTTAGACAGCATGGTGATTAGAGACAGAGTGTGGAAGAGCAGACAAGCAGAAGAGAGAATAATAGAGAGATAAAAGGAGAAAGAATAAAGGAGGGGAAGAAAGAAAAGGGGAAAAATAAGAATAGTTGAATCAGAAGGAGGTGGAGAAGGAAAAGGAGGAACAGAGGAGGGGGTGGAAGTGGAGAGGAGAGAAGTGATAATAGAAAGAAGGACATGTAGAGAAAAAAATGGATGTGGAAGAATGAGAGCAAAAAGGATGCCAGCAGAACAAACCAGAGGGAGAGAGAGCTCTCCCTGTTTTCAGACAAAGTGAGTTAGCAGAATACCTAAACCCAAAGAGCATTACCACTGCACCGACACTGCACATTTCTATAATGACGGAAAGAAGCACCCAGCAACATGTAAACAAGCATGAGGTCTGCAGAGCCTTGCACAGGGCTTGCCAGGAAACCACAGTCAAAGTGAGGCCGCCCTCAGAGTGACGATACTGACTGCTTTCCGAATGCCACTCTCTGCTACGAGTGAAACGTGACATTGACCAGAAGGTCATCTGAGGTTCTTTTTCCCTCTCAATTCTCCAGGCCTCTTCTTCTTTGATTGCCCTAATTGGAAAAGGCTCCTTCTTAGCATCTAGGGCACAAGCCTAATTTTTCCTGATTGACGTTGTCAGGGCAACCAGGCCTAGTAGCAAAAAGAGAAGGGGAGGCCTGGAAGCAGCAACTGTGTGTTACAGGCTGATATCTCCCCTCTTTGTCTGTCCCTCTTCAAGCCCTCTCTCTCCCCGGCATGTCTCCCTCCCTCCCCATTTATTTGCATCCTGCAATCCATCTAATCTGTCTATCTATCACTTATAAAAAGTACTACGGCACTCCAGTATTGGTCCACCCCATTCCTTCTCCAACAGCAATACTGTAATGTTTGGGGGTGATTATTGGAGAATATGAATCTTAGAGGGGTAGCTGGGTGAGTCTGTAACTGAAAAAACTTAGAAAACAACAAATAGTTCTGCAGCACCTTAGAGACTAACAAAACATGTAGATGGTGTCATGAGCTTTCGTGAACACAACCCACTCCTTCAGATGACTGGAGTTAAGAGGTTAAAGGGATTTTCTGAATTTTTAATAAATGTCAGGATAAAAAAGGAAAATAATTGTCAGGGTGTCCATGCTAAATGAGGTTAATAGAGTGGGCAGCAAGTACCTAATGCTTAGCTTTTAATGTAATTAGGTTGTGGAATACATTAGTGTTATTTATGTAAAAGAAAAGGACCCTTCTCTCTGGTATATGTGTGAGAGGTTTTTTTCTCTATTTCTGCTACTTTTTATATCCTTTTCCATTTGTCTCTGCCTCTTTATTTCCCTCTTTCAATTTAAAGCAATAAGCGCAGTCCCTGTGAATGGAAGGCGCTGACCAACAAGGCCATAACCAGGGCAGACTGAGCAGGGCAGTGGCCCAGGGTGCAAAACCAGGGCAAACAGCAAATGATGACTCCATATGGGTAAGACCATGCTACCTGGCATTGCTGCTCACCCAACATCCCATTTTTACGTTAGAGAAATACGGTCACCCTAAAACAATTATGGGGGGGAAAAGGGAGGGGATACAAATGTACTTGCTTACCCCAGATTTTAAAATGCCTAGTTACGTCTCTGTTTCTCAGGCTAAATTCCTGTTGGTGTCGGGCTGTGAAAAGCATATAAGCTGCACAGAGGGGCTAATGGAAAGGGGGAGCGGCAGATAATGCATCTGAGGAAGAGTAAATTGGCAATGGAAAAGGTGGCATGAGCGAATATCACAGAAATGAGCATGACAGGTTATGATAGGCATGAGTGACAGGTAAATCATGGCAAGGATTGCACTCCACACTTCAGACCTCAGGATAGGGGTAGCGGGGGGGACAGCTAGAAACGACTGAAGGGCTTTGGCAAAGCTGTATGGGGAACCTACGTCTGGAATAGCAGGGGGGCTGCAGGGCAGAAGGGAGGGGCACTGACAGAGCTGTTTGGGGAGGGGGTTGTGTTTATACATCAGCTGCTTCTTCTCTCCTTGGTTTTATCCACCATGTTTGAACGGAAGAACATTGGATGATAGCAACCCAGCAAATTATTCCTACAGAGGGAATACTCAGAACTAAGGGATAACTTTTAATGGACTGTTTCTTCAGGTTCTCGATACTGACTGGAGCTTCGCTGCTATCAAAGGGTACGTCTACACTACAGCGCTAGTTCGAACTAACTTAGTTCAAATTAGTTAATTCGAACTAAGCTAATTCGAACTAACGCGTCTAGAACTAAAAACTAGTTCGAAATAGCGTTTTGCTAATTCGAACTAGCATGTCCACATTAAGTGGACCCTGAACCGGGCTTAAGGATGGCCGGAAGCAGTGCTGGCAGGGCATCAGAGGAGGACTTAGAGCGTGGAGATGCTGTCTCAGGCTAGCCGAGGGCTGCGCTTAAAGGGTCCCGACCCCCACCCCGGACAGACAGTTCTAAGGGGTGCCCCGCTTGCAAAGAAGTTCTGGCTTGGAGTGCCCTGAGTGCCCACACTGGGCACATCACACCACTCGGCCATCAGCCCAGCTGCACTTGCCGCAGGCTGCCATCTGGGGAGAGGGAGTAATTGGGGGGCTGCAGGAGAGCTT